TTTCTGATAGGTTGAAATCTTAATATCTAATTCCTGTTCCTCTATTGTGCGCAGGCCCTTAAGCCGGTTGCGCCTCTCTGATAAATCTAGGACTCTACTTGCATCGTGATATACATACATTCATACGACATACATACGGTGCGCGTCGCGAGCAACTTCATGGCGTGCCACCGACCGGCCGTCGCCACGATCGTCACTCATTAACAGTCGAAATGAAGATGGCCGCCGAGGTGAGGTGGCTTTTCGTTTTCCTCGTGTCCTGCGGTGTGTCGTTGTGCCGCGGCGAGGCACCGCATCGGAAATTCGAGTACAAATACTCCTTCAAACCACCGTATCTCGCGCAGAAGGACGGCAGCGTACCATTCTGGGAATACGGCGGAAGTAAGTACTCCCACACCGCGTTGAAGGGTTGTATAACCTAAACCGACACCTGTCGCGCCGACACGTCGCGCTCCGACCGCAACCTTCCGTATGTTACTCCGGCGGCGCCGATCTGGACGGTGCAGCGGGATGACCCGCGGGTTTTTCGCGTCCTCGAGCGACCGCCGTCTCACTCTCGATCCCGCTGACGCACTTGCATAATTTCCCGCCGCACTGGCTATCTTGAAAGCGATCAAAACACTGATGACGTTGACGTATATGTGCACACGCTTCTCGCTCGCACATGCTATTGAAATAAAGTAATGAATGACTGTTTATAAGGCACGGAATTGCGATAATCCTGCAGTCAATACACCTAGAAACTTCCGAGAATGGCTAACGTTCGATGATTATTTCTTTTCTATTAATATAGTTCAGTTGGATGCGAGAATGAAGATTGAAGAGAAAGATAAAATTATATTTAATGAATGATAAAAAAGTATTATTGAAAAATATGAGGAAAAATTCTTCTCTTGTGTAAAGAAGTATCTGGGAATATTATTCTAAGGAAATATTTAATAGTAATGCTAAACATTGCTATATTATGTTGATTTTAATTAAACATATGTTTACTTATCCCTTATGAAGGTGTCAATCTTAATATTATTTTCTATCTGGTCTCAAATACAATATGTCTAAAGAAATATTTACTAGTAATGTTAAATATTACTGTATTATATTGATTTTAATTTAACATATGTTTTACTTGTCTCTTACAAAGATATAATAGCAATCTTAATAAAGTATTTTCTATTTGGTTTCAAATGTATCTAATATAAATAATACAACACATATAACAAATGTAATATACTTAATCATTTCCTTCTAAAAACACATTTATGTTTTAAATATTTAATGAAAAAATAGTATTAAACTCAGTTACTGTACAGGGATATGGCATATCCAGAATGTTTGAAAATTATGCAGCATTTATAGAAATCGGAGAAATGAGGTACTGGATGTAGAAAAAAAAGTTAAGTCAAAATATTCTTTTCCTTATCTAGGGTTGTCAGTTTGTGTGAAAAGGTGGTAGCAATAATTTTTCTATAAAAAATCATGCAATTTTACTTATCAAATATACTTACATAGGAATATTTTTTTTTAACACATGTTTTTAATTAAAATATGCACCTTTAACAGCTTATTCCTTTAGTTTTTTTTATTTTTATCTCTATATTAAGTATAATTAATAATTTTTTTTGAAAAAGTATTTTTCGTGATTTTCGTAATAGTTTAAAAAATTGACTCTTGTTCATTATTAAATATTTTTTGTAATTTACAATTTTCGGCGATTCTACTACTATATATTATAAGGCTCTTCTTTAAATCTTCCAAAATGAAGATTTTATACACATTTATTACTAGTAATCAGTACATTGTCGAAAATTAGAGTTACTTTAACATTAACGGGATATGCTATACTGTGCGGTAATGATAAAAGTAAAAGTACGTACAATAACTGAGGATTAAAGTACAGAAGATTCCTTTGTATAAAGAAATATCTGATAATAATGTTTTAAAGAAGTATTTAATAGTAATGCTAAAAAAAAACATTGCTGTATTATGTTGATTTTAATTGGACACATGTTTCACTTATTCCTTATAAAGATAACAATCTTAATATTATTTTTTATCTGATTTGACATAATATATCTAATATAAATATTACACGTATAATATAAATGTAATATATTCGTTTTCTTTCAAAAATACTTTTACATTTTAAATTGCAGATGCCATTGCTAGTGCAGAAAATGTCAGAGTAGCACCGTCGCTCAGAAGCCAAAAAGGTTTGTGTGCAAATCTCATATAAACATGCCAATACTTAAAGCTTTTTAAGGAATAAATTATTAAAAGTAATATTTATAAGATTTATGTGTTCAGAACATTAAAAATATTGATTTTTCAAGTACATTATAAAATGGACGATTTGCGACAATTTTGCAAGAGATTTATGAAATATATTGTTTAGGTGCAATATGGGTAAAACAACCCACAATTTTTGACTGGTGGGAGGTAGAATTAGTATTCCGAATAAGCGGACGTGGAAGGATAGGAGCGGATGGTTTGGCATTCTGGTACACAAGTGATAAGGGATTCTACAATGGCTCCGTTTTCGGCAGCTCAGATCTTTGGACGGGTTTGGGAATTTTTTTTGACTCGTTCGATAATGACAATAAGCATAATAATCCATACATCATGGCGATAGTCAATGACGGCACAAAGGCCTTCGATCACATAAAGTAAATTACGTTCTTAACAACTTACTTATGACTCGCATGTTCGAACTAGTTTTATATAATTTGTGTTTCATTCCATTCTTAAATAGTGACGGCTCTACGCAACAATTATCAGGCTGTTTGCGAGATTTCCGCAATAAACCATTTGCCACACGAGCGCGGATAGAGTATTATATGAATTCGTTAACTGTGAGTATACTAGACATTTTTCTAGCTATTTTTATCTTGACATTTCTCATTTGACTGGTCTCTTTTCTGTTCAAGCTGTTATTCCATAATGGTATGACGAATAATGATCAAGATTATGATATATGTTTCCGAGCTGACAACGTTATGTTACCGAAAAATGGATATTTTGGAATTTCTGCCGCTACTGGTATGCATATAAAAAGTATTAATATGGTATACCGATGTAATTGCATATCTCATGTTTTTATTCATTTTCGAATATCTAGGTGGCCTGGCTGATGACCACGACATCTTATATTTTCTTACTACCTCTCTGCATCCTCCCGGACAGCTTCCAGTGGACGGGAATAAAGTTTCTATAGAAGAACAAGCCAAACTCCAACAGGAATACTTAGACTACCAAAAAAAATTAGATGAACAAAAAGAGGAATACCAGAAGTAAGAAAATGCAATGCCATGATGTTTTTACAATACTAAGTCTCAATATTGATATGTCATTCTAACAGGGAACATCCAGAAAGTCAAAAGATGGAATTTGATGAGTACTTTGAAACGGAGAATCAAAGAGAATTACGACAGATATTTCATGGACAAAGTCAGATGTTTGAAGTTTTACGCGATCTTCATAGAAAATTAGATGAGATTGTTGGAAGACAAGAGAGAGTTTTGGGTTTAGTATCTCAAATTGGACAAGGAGGTAAATTGCCAATTACAATTGATTAAATCTGAGAACACAAGTATCATATAAATTATTAAAAAAATTTTTTTGTAAAAGCTTTATTGTTCTAAACTTTTACATTATTATTTTATATTATTTTTTTATGTATGAATTTGTAGTTATTTTTTCTCAAAAGAACAATTGCTTCTTCATTCATCCATTCCTGCAATCTTTAGTTTTCCAATTAAAAAAAAATATATATAGACAAAATTTCACCTTTCTTTAACTCTGTCTTTGGATTTTACATGAATTTTTAAAAGATTTAAATATATTTAATTTTAAGCCAAACTCCAACAGGAATACTTAGACTACCAAAAGAAATTAGATGAACAAAAAGAGGAATACCAGAAGTAAGAAAATGCAATGCCATGATGTTTTTACAATACTAAGTCTCAATATTGATATGTCATTCTAACAGGGAACATCCAGAAAGTCAAAAGATGGAATTTGATGAGTACTTTGAAACGGAGAATCAAAGAGAATTACGACAGATATTTCATGGACAAAGCCAGATGTTTGAAGTTTTACGCGATCTTCATAGAAAATTAGATGAGATTGTTGGAAGACAAGAGAGAGTTTTGGGTTTAGTATCTCAAATTGGACAAGGAGGTAAATTGCCAAGTACAATTGATTAAATCTGAGAACACAAGTATCATATAAATCAGGGCTCGGCACGAAATGCACATTTCGGCTGATTTTCGAGATGGCTCCGCCTCCCGCTATTCCCCTCACTGCACCGCCCCACGCGCAATCCAAATGCCACTCGACGCTTAGGAATGTACTCGTAGACGCTCGTAGACGTAAGGGGCATTCATTCGGGGCGCTCGACACGTTGTAATCTTTATTCTATCTTTTTTTTT